CCAGCTAAGCTCCTGTATATTTCTCCACTGGTAGCTAGTTATTTCCCCCAAATGGTCAAAACTTCTGGATTCAGCATTTTTAGGTTGACCTTTGAGAGACTGGGTAAAGGACTCATAGCTTATGTGTATGGAAAGCTTGCGTTTGGGTTCAAGGTACACACAAAGTACTGTGGCTCCATTGTAAGTTTGGGTTACAGAGTCAGGTCATCAGCAAATGAGTCCTCTCTAGATTAGTGCCGCCTCCCAAGATGATTTAATCTTTAAGAAGCATAATGAAGTGTAATTATTCTCGCTCTCTCATGTCCGCACCCCCTCCATTCTTTAGATCCCAGATTAACAGGACAGGCTGTTATTCCAGGATCCATAATATACCACAAACAGTCACAAAATCTTCTGGTTTGTTGCAAGGTACATTTCCTTTAGTTTAAATTTATCATACTTGTTTTACTGAATTTATAGTTTGTATCATTTATCATTTTTAGTTGGGACTTCACTGAACTGCTTGTCTATCAGATTGAGGCAATGGACAGTTTTTCTTAAGAAATAGTAGAATCTCATGTAGTTTTTTTAAAGTGATGAAGTTTTGCCAAGGCATTGTTATTACTCAAACAATGAAAGAAAATTCAGTAACCAAAGTGCTTCTTTTTGAAGAAATTTGTATATTCTAAGTAAACCAATTTAATTAACAAGCTCTTTTTATCTTGTTAATATGACCATCATAAAAGATAGTCCTGTCCAAGTATTTAGCTGAACTACAGTGCATGTGTCCTACTTGCTTTTACTACTGTTCAACAGTGGTTAGACAGATTTCTAACAATTTAAAACGACTTTGAAACCATTATTGTTTTATAAGACAACTAGAGGCCCGGTGCACCAATTCGTGCATGGGTGGGGTCCCGAGGCCTGGCCAGCAATCAGGGCCGATAAGGGCCGGGTGATTGGGGCCTGCCTGCCGGTCTGGGGGAGGGACAGGGAGGGACCGCGGGTCGATCGGGGCCTGCTGGCTATGGGGAGAGACAGGGCACAGGAAGTTGGCCTCTGGCCCCAAAGAGGGAGCCGGCCCTTGGCCCCCCTGGGAAAGGGGCCGTGCCTGCCGCCGCCCACCCCCAGTTTCCGGGCGGGTTCGGGAGAGGAGGCAAGGGTTGCCTGGCCAGGCGCGGAAGGAATGGACGCCGAGGCCACTAGCGGGCCCCAGGAGGTTGGCTGTGGGAGCACACTGACCACCAGGGGGCAGCTCCTGCATTGAGCGTCTGCCCCCTGGTGGCCAGTGCGCATCATAACGACTGATCATAATGGTCACTTAGGCTTTTATATATATTAATGGTGTTTTCCTAAGAAGTGTTCCACATTCCTTGCATTTCCTTCATATGATGTATATGTGAGATGTTTCATGCTCACAAAGGGATGTTTAAAATGTATGATAGATTGATCTGACCTACACAGACTGTAGATAGAGAACTCCTGCATCAACCTCCCTTCATGTCTCCTCAACTTATTCTGGAATAACATTGGGTGCATATATCTTGTCCTTGGCTGGGTCTGTAGTTTGCTCTCAGATGTGAGTTTGAGATCCACCAGTTGTGTCACCTCAGTCCAATCACTCACACTGTCTGGCATCAGTTTTCTCTGTGGATAGTATTGGATCTGTCTACTTTTTAGAGTGGTTGAATTCTGATAACCAGTCATAATAAGAAGCATGGACACACTCTGAAAACTATAAAGCACCATGCAAACATACCTTTTATTCTGCTCCTCTATGTTTAAGTAGGTTTATACAGATCTGTACATTTGTTATCACTCCTTGGTAATAAACTTTCAGAGTCAAAGAATCGTATACGTTACAGTGCTCTTTGCAGCTAAGCATTTAGTAAAAGTGTTTTGGTTGGTTTATTTGTTTTCATGATGAAGTTTTATAAACTACAATTTACTTCATTTTCCTACTACTTCATATTCACTCTTTATCTTTTGCCCTTTAGGATGGCTGGATTGGTGTTCGGTCAGTGATGCTCAAGAAAACACTAACAGCTGCTGATTTCTACAATGGATATTTGCACCCCTGGCACCAGAAAAACTCCCAAGCTCATCCAAGTCAATGCAGATTTCAGACTCTCAGACTTCCAACAAAGAAGCGGGGGGAAAAAATTGTTGCTATGCAACAGTGCACTAAGTAGTTTAGAAAGAAGATAGATAAGACCTATTACATATTTGTAATTTATTAAAAGTCTTATTCATAAGGAATTACTTTGATTTTCAAGGAGTATGACACTGTTGGAGAAGAGAAGATTATCCAAAAGGTTAATTACCTCATTTCCTGCTTTTTGTTTAACAATAGTTAAAAACTTTTCTAGCCTGGGCAATGTGGCTCAGTGATTGAGCCAAGTGGTCACGGTTCAATGCCTGGTCAGATGCCCAGTGTGAGGCATGCAGGAGGCAGCCGATCAATGATTCTCTCTCATCATTGATGTTTCTATCTCTCTCCCTCTTCCTTCCTCTCTGAAATCAATTTAAAAAAAACCACACAACTTTTCTACTTGAATAACAGAAGAAACTTTAAATAAAATTTTTATTTATGTCAAAGTCAAGGAGATTTTATGTTTCCTTAAGAGCAAGTGCAACTAACAGATATGCATATGTATACTGAAGAGGTCCTTTTTTTAAAAAAATGCATCTATTAGGTTTTTAAAATTTATGTACTCATTGACTAGGTTTTCATTCAGGAGTAATCTGCATTTCTGATTTTCAGCAAGTAGTAAAGTCAGTTATTTAAATTACTATCTAGTTCCCATCAAGTAGTAAACAGACAATAGTAATCTGTCACATTGAGTTTTACTGTAAATTCACATTTTACATCTAGGTTTTCTTGAAGTAGGAATATCCTAACACTTTTCAATGTATTTACGCAATAAAAATTATTGAGCATCTGGTCTGTGCAAACTCATCTTCTCTGTCTCTGAGAGTCAAGCACTTCTGGAGGAGGATGGGGCACAGGGGCCAGCTGTTAAATTTTTATTTGAGGATATTTACATATCAGCTTTTCCTGCCTAGACTGTTAAACTCTCCATTCATTAATCATCAATATTTATTGATTGATAGGGCAATTATATAATTGATCATTTAAAATAGAATACGTTCATTAGTATAAAAGGAAGTACTTGTAATAATTACTTCTGGACAACTGGCATAAACCAAGACTCCAGGTTATATGGACACCAGGCACCAGTTTATGTGGACATCCTACTTATTGAATACTTTCTGTGTAACTATCCTTTATGCTGCTTGCTGGAGATGCAGAGATTAAATAATTTTTGGCATCTTCAATCTACTGGGGAGGCAAACATAAGCAAATATAATAGTTTTAAATGCCATAATGGAGGTATAATGGGAGCATTCAATCTCCCTCAAGGGAGTCAATGGAGGCTTTCCAGAGGAGATAAAGCAGAATCTGCGTTTCCAAATGATGAGTTCACTATGCACGCTGAAGCCTGGCAGGGCATCCTAGCATGTGCAGAGGCATAGAAACACTCACCGGGAGTTGCTAATGTTCTTAAACTGGGTGGTGGGAGCATGACTGGCTTTTTTTACTCTTTAAACCATAAATTTGCGACAGAGCAGGGTAACGATTAAAAAACCAGCTCTGAGACTCCGCGGAGTTCTGGAAGGTGGAACCCTGCGAGTTCCCACAGCCTCCCAGGCTCTTGTTTACACACTTCCTCTTAAATCTGTGAGTTTGATTGTTGATCCCGGTGCATGTGATTGCCCAATTGGGGTCGCTAGCGGAGCTTGTAGGGGAAGATTGTTTTTGGGGAGCCTGGAAAACAGAGCTGAGAGTGGCGACTGGTGAAACAGATCTGGGCGGAGCTGGTTCAGGTACAATAGAGAACTCCTGGTCAGAGAGGACTTAAAGCCTTGGAGGTCAATCCAGACACACTGCCACCCAGAGGCAGAGCCACGAACTGACTCTTCTGTACATACAAATACAGCAGTAAGGGGAACCAATACGGCCTGCCTTAAAATCAGGACTGTGGCTTACAACACGGAGGAACAGTGTATCAGAGGGAAATTCAACATTCTCCTGAATTCCGGGCGTGCCAAAAAGAAGAGTAGAAGATCTGAAGCACCTGCATTACTGCACATTTTTATTTTACTTTTTTTTTTTAATTAATTACTTTTTCACCTTTTAACTAAGAAAACATTGTTTTTCTTTTTTTTTTCCCAACCCAAAATACTCAAACACTTGGAAGCTGAATAGCATGTTATTAAATATTGATTGGGTTACCAATGAGATCAAAGAAGAAATTAAAAACATCCTGGAAACTAATGACAATGAAAACACAACAATCCAAAACCTTTGGGACACAATGAAAGCAGTCCTGAGAGGGAAGTTTATAGCTCTACAGGCCTACCTCAACAAACAAGAAAAAATGGTAGTAAATCATCTAAATCTACAGCTCAAAGAATTAGAAAGAGAGCAACAAGAAAAGCCCAGAGTGAGCAGAAGGAAGGAGATAATAAAGATTAGAGCAGAAATAAATGACATAGAGACCAAAAAAACAATACAGAAAATCAATGAAACCAAGAGCTGGTTCTTTGAAAGGATAAACAAGATCGACAAACCTCTAGCCAGGCTCACCAAAAAGCAAAGAGAGAGGACCCAAATAAACCAAATCAGAAATGATAGAGGCGAAATAACAACAGACCCCACAGAAATACAAATGATTGTTAAAAAATACTATGAACAACTCTACTCCAACAAACTAGACAACCTGGAGGAAATGGACATATTTCTAGAAAAATACAACATTCCAAAACTTAATCAGGAAGAATCTAAAAATCTCAACAGGCCAATAACTATGGAAGAAATTGAAGCAGTCATCAGAAAGCTTCCAGCAAACAAAAGCCCAGGACCAGACGGCTTCACAGGGGAGTTTTACCAAACATTCAAGGAAGAACTAAAACCTATCCTCCTCAGACTACTACAAAAAATCCAAGAGGAAGGAACACTTCCAAGCTCATTCTATGAAGCCAGCATCACCCTAATACCAAAACCAGGTAAAGACAACACAATGAAAGAGAATTACAGGCCAATATCCCTCATGAACATAGATGCCAAAATCCTCAACAAAATCTTAGCAAATCGGATCCAGCAGTACATCAGAAAGATCATACACCATGACCAAGTAGGATTTATCCCAGGGATGCAAGGATGGTACAATATCCGCAAATCAATCAACGTGATACATCACATAAACAAATTGAAGGAAAAAAACCACATAGTCATATCAATTGATGCAGAAAAAGCATTTGACAAAATTCAACACCCATTTTTGATAAAAACTCTCAGCAAGGTGGGAATAGAAGGATCATACCTCAACATAATAAAAGCCATATATGACAAACCCACAGCCAACATCATACTCAATGGACAAAAACTAACACCATTTCCCCTAAAAACAGGAACAAGACAGGGATGCCCACTCTCACCACTCCTGTTCGACATAGTACTGGAAGTATTAGCCATTGCAATTAGACAAGAAGAAGAAATAAAAGGCATCCAAATTGGAAAAGAGGAAGTAAAACTGTCCTTATTTGCAGATGACATGATATTATACTTAAAAAACCCTAAAGACTCCATCAAAAAACTATTAGACTTAATAAAAGAATTCGGCAATGTAGCAGGATACAGAATTAACGCCAAGAAATCTATGGCATTTCTATACACCAATAGTGAACTTGCAGAAAGAGAGACTAAAAAAGCAATCCCATTTACCATCTCACCAAAAAAATTAAGCTACCTAGGAATAAACTTAACTAAAGAGGTAAAAGACCTCTACTCAGAAAACTACAGGACGTTGAAAAAAGAGATAGAGGAAGACATAAAGAGATGGAAGAACATACCATGTTCTTGGATTGGTAGAATCAACATCATTAAAATGTCCATACTGCCCAAAGCAATCTATAAATTCAACGCACTTCCCATTAAAATACCAACGGCATATTTCACAGACCTAGAACGAACTCTCCAAAAATTCATCTGGAACAAAAAACGACCCCGAATAGCTGCAGCGATCCTGAGAAAGAAGAAAGTAGGTGGGATCTCAATACCAGATATCAAGCTGTATTACAAAGCCACTGTTCTCAAAACTGCCTGGTACTGGCACAAGAACAGACATATAGATCAATGGAATAGAATAGAGAGCCCAGAAATCAGCCCCAACCAATACGCTCAATTAATATTTGACAAAGGAGGCAAGAACATACAATGGAGTCAAGACAGTCTCTTCAATAAATGGTGCTGGGAAAATTGGACAGATACATGCAAGAAAATGAAACTAGACCACCAACTTACACCATACACAAAAATAAACTCAAAATGGATAAAGGACTTAAATATACGACCGGAAACCATAAAAATACTAGAAGAATCCAAAGGCAACAAAATCTCAGACCTATGCCGAAGCAATTTCTTCACCGATACAGATCCTAGGGCATTGGAAACTAAAGAGAAAATAAACAAATGGGACTACATCAAAATAAAAAGTTTCTGCACAGCAAAAGAAACCATCAACAAAACAACAAGAAAGCCCACTACATGGGAGAACATATTTGCCAACATTATATCTGATAAGGGCCTAATCTCCAACATTTATAGGGAACTCATACAACTTAACAAAAGGAAGATAAACAATCCAATCAAAAAATGGGCAAAGGACCTAAATAGACACCTTTTAAAAGAGGACATTCAGAAAGCCAAGAGACATATGAAAACATGCTCAAAGTCGCTAATCATCCGAGAGATGCAAATCAAAACAACAATGAGGTACCATTTCACACCTGTCAGAATGGCTATCATCAACAAATCAACAAACGACAAGTGCTGGAGAGGATGTGGAGAAAAAGGAACACTTGTGCACTGCTGGTGGGAATGCAGACTGGTGCAGCCACTATGGAAGACAGTATGGAGTTTCCTCAAAAAACAAAACATGGAACTCCCATTTGACCCTGTGATCCCACTTCTAGGAATATATCCCAAGAAACCAGAAACACCAATCAGAAAGGATCTATGCACCCCTATGTTCATAGCAGCACAATTCACCATAGCTAAGATTTGGAAACAGCCTAAGTGCCCATCAGTAGATGAATGGATTAGAAAACTGTGGTACATCTACACGATGGAATACTATGCTGCTGTAAAAAAGAAGGAACTCTTACCATTTGCAACAGCATGGATGGAACT